TTTATCATCTGATTATTCCAATTCTTTTATCTTTAATGAAGTGTATTGGAAATTCAATTAAACTTGAACAAATGGATAGGTATGAATTATCTTCATTAAATCAACAACTTGTTGCTGTTTGTAATTTTTCTGAATAAAATGAGAAGGGTTTTTTAATACGAAATAAAAAAGGAGATTTATGTAATAGGACATTGATTGGATTAATGCGAATATCAAAAGAGTGATGGCAGAATTAGAAGATTATAATGAAAAGGCAACAATTTTAAATACTTTAAAACGTCCAGACACAATATCAACCAACGCATTTATTCCACTCACACAAACGGTTTGTTTTATATTACAATTTTGTTAATATAAAGAATTAATAGTTAATAATTAGTTAATGACCAAAGGAGATATTGAGTTTAATGGAAGAGTGATTGTTCATATTGGAGACCAATACTATGTAAGTAAAGTTTGTTCAATATTTTTATAAATAATATCTAATAACTAATTCATTTAAATAGAAAGTTGATAAAGCTATTGAATTTTATACAAAAAAAATTAATGAAAAACAAATGGAACAAAATGCATATGAAATTTTACTTAGAGATAGACAAAGTGTTTTATCTAAAATGGAACAACTTGTAAAAAGAATGATTGAATTACAAAGTCTATTAAAGAAGTAATTAAAACACAAGAAAATAAATTGAATTATAAATTATCTTCAATTAATTTTCGTTTTCTTAATTCATTTATTTGATTAAGCTCTTCTAAATTAATATTTTCATCACTACTTTCTGTAGAATCTTCTTCTATTCCTTCAAGGTTTTTCATTATATCAAAGTCTGGTACTAATTCATGTTGATGTGTTTCTTGCTCATTAGCTATAATGTTTGTATATTCATTAACAATCTCTGGATGGTCTATATAATGTGCAATAACATCTGTACTTGTTGAAAATCGTTCTAAGTCTTGAAGAATAACACCATCAGGAATCATTGGAAATACTTCTTTAATAGCTCCAATTTGTTCTTGAACAGTATTTTGTTTAAATAAAAATTGATAAAGATGTACAATAAAACGACTTGATTTAGGTAATTTCATGATATATTTCTCATAGTTAGTTTTTGATTGAAGAATAGGCTGTTTACAAAGAGGACAAACAGAGTTATGTTGTAACCATGGTATCACACAAGAGTAATGGAATTTATGACCACAAGAAAATGAAACACATTTTCTTTTCAGAAGAGAATAACAAATGGAACATTCCCCTTCATTTAAATCACAAATTTTGAGTGTGATTACAAGATGATTAAAATATTTCTGAACCGTTTTAATCTTAGAAATACTTACAAATCCTATTCTAAGTATTTGAAAACTAATCCAAATTCCCATTAATCGTTGTCCCCATGTGTATATAAGTAAAACAGTGTAATGAATAAATAAACATCCTATTGTTATAAAGTCAAAATGAATTTTTGTAAAAAAGTGTTTAATATATCGTTTACTCCATTGATTATCATAACACCGTTTATATATAAATCCATAGTTATAGATTACATAGATAACTTCAACTGGAATGATAATAAATTCTGGTATTGTTATTGGTAATGTAATTGATGGTGCAAGACTTATACATTTAAATATTAATGTACAGAATAAAACAATATATATTGGCATAAACACAATAAATCCTATTGTTGAAAAGTTTGCAACAAACGCTGCTGGAGAATAGTAACATTGTTCATCTAATTTTAATTGGAATAAACAAATCATATTTCTTAGGAGTTGTATAGAAAAGTATGCATAAATAAATACTGGTTGATTAATAGGTGAAATGTATGTCCCAAGAATTGAGATTGTTGATGTTTTAATCAACACACAGATAACAACTGCGAAAATAACAAACATCACATCTTCATCTCTTAATGACTTGTATCTAATAACAATTATACATGATAATAAGCATATTAACAATACCAATGGGGTGAATACATAAGGAATATAAAGTATACTTGTTATATAATTAACAATTCCCATTGACAAAATTTAAAGATGAAAAATTTTGAAAAATAAAAAAATAACAAATTGAATAACAAATTTTTAATTTGTGTTAAACAAAGTTAAAAAGCATCATAA